ACTGTTTTCAACAAGAATTCAAAAATATCACTTTTCACCAAAAATAATCATCAAAATTAGATAATTGAAGATATCACCATGAAATTAACAAATCTGAAAGAGGTCCACATGTAGTACCTATATATGTAATATAAAAGCAATCAGACTTGCAGTTTTTCAACAAGAAGTCAAAAATATCACTTTTTACCAAAAATTAAAACAATATTCACTAAAATTAGAGAATAAAAGGTATCATCACAAAATGAACAAATCTGAGAAAGGACCACATGTAGTACCTATATATGTAATATCAAAGCAATTGGACTTGCGATTTTTAACAAGAAGTCAAAAATATCACTTTTTACCAAAAATGACAAAAATATTCACCAAAATTAGAGAATTGAAGATATCATTACAAAATAAACAAATCTGATGAGAGAGGTCCACATGTAGTACCTATATATGTAATATCAAAGCAATTGGACTTGTGTTTTCGTCGAAAATATCACTTTTTACCAAAACCATTTTTGGTTTCTTATATGTGCCTGGCTCCTATATGTGCCTGGCTCTTTTATGTGCCTGGCTCTTATATGTGCCTGGCTCTTATATGTGCCTGGCTCCTATATGTGCCTGGCTCTTATATGTGCCTGGCTCTTATGTATATGTCCCTGGCTCCCTTGTGTCTCTAGCTCTTATACGTCTTAGCTCTTATATGTCTCAGCTCTTATATGTCCCTGGCTCCTATATGTCCCTGGCTCCTATATGTCCCTGGCTCCTATATGTCCCTGGTTTCTATATGTCCCTGGCTCCTATATGTCCCTGGCTTCCTTGTGTCCCTGGCTCCTATATGTTCTACAAGTTGCTCCTAATGACACATGAAGATGCCTTATTACTATATAACTGTACTATATTTCTTGTCTGTGTTCCATCAGAATATCTATACAGATGAAAACAAGTCATAATAAGAAATATTATAGAGTAGTAATTATGCTAATATCAAATTATCAATTATTTCTTCTTCTACGATTCACTCGCATAAAGTTGATGAAAGTTATATATCTAATTGTAAATTAAATTAAACTATAAATTCTAACACCAGAACTCAATAAAAGCAATAATACTAACATACCGATAAGTAAAAGTGCATGACTTCATTCAATGTATGTTATGGCACATGCAAGCCAGATGATAAAGAACAAATCATAGAAAAGCCATTATTTGATTCTAATTGGTAGGAAAAGATGACATGGTACACATGCTGACATTTTAAACTCCATATTATAAGTAAAACCATAGACCTTTCTAAGTAAAAGATCACATGGTACACATGCTGACATTTTAAACTCCATATTATAAGTAAAACCATAACCCTTTCTAAGTAAAAAGCAGATACAGTTTACAGAACTTTAATGAAACATAATATTTGATTATTTATATATTAACTTTGAATTATTTTATAAGTGTTAGTATTGTATTGTATTGGACGGCTACAACTAACAATTTTCTTCATCACGTACCAATAGTTATATATCTTCCAGTGTGTTACCATATACAAATAAGTTAACTGGGGCATAGTATGACAGTGTCTGTGTCCTAACTTATTAGGTAATACGATTATCATTTGTTTTGTATTATGTTTCTTGACATGTATAGAATGATATATGATATTTTATGCCATTACTATGATATGAATGTATCTAGTACATTCTTGTCCTTAAAAGAATCTATGCAGCATTCCACTCACTATACATCACTCCACTAATGATGTTAGTAATATCTCATCACAGTCAGCTATTGACTGTAAATTTGATTGGTTGATTGAAAATGCCATCAACTATGCCTAGGTATGATGCTAGTAATATCTCATCACAGTCAGCTATTGACTGTAAATTTGATTGGTTGATTGAAAATGCCATCAAATATGCCTAGGTATGATGCTAGTAATATCTCATCACTGTCAGCTATTGACTGTAAATGGAATGCCCCATAGATCCTAGGCATCAGTAGAGTGGCATACAGTGAGTAGAATGACACATAGATCCTAGGCATCAGTGAAGTGACATACAGTGAGTGGAGTGCCACATAGATCCTAGGCATCCGTGGAGTGACATACAGTGAGTGGAGTGCCACATAGATCCTAGGCATCAGTGGAGTGGCATACAGTGAGTGGAGTGCCACATAGATCCTAGGCATCAGTGGAGTGGCATACAGTGAGTGGAGTGCCACATAGATCCTAGGCATCAGTGGAGTGGCATACAGTGAGTGGAGTGCCACATAGATTCTAGGCATCAATGGAGTAGCATACAGTGAGTGGAATGACACATAGATCCTAGGCATCAGTCAAGTGGCATACAGTGAGTAGAATGACACATAGATCCTAGGCATCAGTGGAGTGGCATACAGTGAGTAGAATGACACATAGATCCTAGGCATCAGTGAAGTGGCATACAGTGAGTGGAGTGCCACATAGATCCTAGGCATCAATGGAGTAGCATACAGTGAGTGGAGTGCCACATAGATCCTAGGCATCAGTGGAGTGGAATACAGTGAGAGGAATGACACATAGATCCTAGGCATCAGTGGAGTGGCATACAGTGAGTGGAATGACACATAGATCCTAGGCATCAGTGGAGTGGCATACAGTGAGTGGAATGACACATAGATCCTCGACATCAGTGGAGTGACATACAGTGAGTGGAGTGCCACATAGATCCTAGGCTTAAGTGGAGTGGCATACAGTGAGTGGAGTGCCACATAGATCCTAGGCATCAGTGGAGTGGCATACAATGAGTGGAATGACACATAGATCCTAGGTATCAGTGGAGTGGCATACAGTGAGTGGAATGGCACTTAGATTCTGGGCGTAAATTTTGTGATGCCTTGTTCTGTCTATATGCCCAACAAAGAAACATTCTATATAAAGAAGCTGAGAAAATATTCATTGATTTCAATGCCTGATGTATAACATTGGTTGCTACATTCACATTCTGGTTGGGTGGAAGTCACCACAAAATGTAAGCATACAGGTATTACAATAAACGTTTGGTGTTTTAAGACAATAGATATTACAAACTCACCTGTAATCCTTCAATAATGCTGCGATAATCTCTGGAGATAGCCATGATAGAGTCTCGCCTATGTCGCCCATGACTTAACCAATGTCTGGAGTGTTTCATCACTATTTGTGACTTGGAGAATAGTGTATTGACTTGACTGTCAAGGTCAACTGGGATTGCTATGCCACGGTTCTTAGCTGAGTTATATAGTAGAAAGTATTGCCATGGTTGGTTGGTACATTCATTAGTTATACAGACATCCATTGCGTCTTACAGTCAAGTTCAACATGAAATTCATTTTGAATATCATACTTTTTGGATTTCAATAATTCTGATGCTTTTGACACAACCGCATTTTTGCACACAGGGTCAAAGGTCAATTCATAGAAATGTCAGAATTGTGAAAGCTGAATAATTTTGGAAATCAATAATAGTATAATTTCAAGATCAAACAAAATGACAGCAAGACGATGGATAGATGTACATATTGGTGTATATGGTAGTATTTTATTTATAACATGCTGCTTGGATCACATAAATTAACACAACCCATTTATTGGTTATTTGATTCACACAATCAGCACATGCACATTCAGAACCTAGTCACCCCTTATTAACCCACAATAGAATGTCCCACTGCTACAAATATAGACCATTACATATTAAAGTAGGGATGGTAGGTTCAAATGCAATGACAATAAATAGCATGCAGTTTTAAAAAAGCACATTTCAGTTTTAAGTTCATAATAAGAAAAGATTCACTGAGGAAGCAAGTGTGTGAACTGGAAGTGATAAACAGGTTAAATGATTGTTACCATTAGCAACAGTTGCTGATAACCAGACACAAGTCTAAGCAAATTATTACAAGTCAACATTCTTAAAGAAGCAATGTCTATAACTTTGTATATTTTAGATATCTTTGATTTTGGGTATGATTTCTCAAAAAACAAGTCATTGAAAATGACACAGTCCCCGTTAATTTTTTGAAAGTTCTCTTTGTGCTCATCATATTAAAGTGGAGGGGTTGTCGTATGCGTGTCCTTGAAACTTGAGTTCCAAGTGGCGTATACAACAGATTGTTTATTTACATCAAAACACGTGTTCCGTGTAGTAGTAATATGGCCAAAAATAAAAACGGCCGTTATTCGGCCATCTTTGACCTGATTATGAAACACACTGATATGTATGATGTATGTGCCAAATACGAATGAAAATGGTACATAAATTGTGGAAATATAGTAGTAAGGCCAAAACGTCAGATGGCTGTCAATCGGCCATCCTTGACCAAATTTTGAAACAAATTGTCATGGACATGCATCCTAACATGTATAAAGTACATGTACATGTATGTGCCAAATTTGAATGAAAACTGACAGAGCACGTCCAAGATACTGCATAAAAAAAAAAAAAGATGTCTGCCAGTCGACCATCTTTGAACTAATTGCGAAATAAATCGTCATGGACTTGTATCCTAACATGTATAATCTATGTACCAAGTTTGAATGACAACTGACAAAGCATGTCCAAAATACAACATTTTCAAAAAACAAGATGGCTGCCAGTCTGCCATTTTGAATAGAATCGCTAAACCACTGCATGTGCATATGTCACACATAAGGTACGTCCGAACGGGGACTAATAAATATGTTTGGTGAAACAAAGCAGTATTTATTTGCTAATAAGTTTTTAATTAACTGTACTGTTATACACATGTAGATAAACCCAGGATGTATACTCAGAGATTTTCAGTATTTCATTTAA